TGACGGGTGTTTGCAAAATTTTCTACTCGCACGAGAGGGGGAGGACGAGGGGGAAATTTCCGAAAGGATCGGAGTGAATCGAATCAATTTCTCCCCCCCCCCTCTTCTTCGAACTTCTGTCGACCATTTCTAACTTCGTTTTCCATTTTACGAAAAATACAGTTGCTCGAAAGAAAGAAAAGGAGTTTCTTTTCATTTTCTGCGTCTAAGCTGTTCGAAAGCTAAGTTAAAAGGAGAAAGTTTACAAGTAAAAGCTGGTGTCGGGCCCGGTGTGTGCTCCTGTGTGGAAAAGCAAACTATCCCTGCGTGGTGGTTGTTCTTACGAAATTTCAAAAATTTGTTAAACCCGATTAAAGTTTGTGCTCGGGGGAGGGAAAAGTAGGGAGGAAGAAGAAAAAGAAACGAATACTTACTATTGTTCATTGGAAAAGCAGGCTGGCATCGTTCGTCGAAGAAATTACGCTGCTTAAGAAGATGGTCGGATTCGTGGAACGGATGTTATTACTTTATTTGATGACGTACTTAAACAGTGAAAGAATCTGTTCGTCGAGCCGAGTCACGCGAGCAAACGCGAAACAATGTCGTCGATCGTTAACGCCGCGCTTCATCTTCATCGCGTTCGCCGCTGATGGGTCGACGATTAACGTTCGCCTCGTACGAAAAAAAAGAGGCGAAGAAAAGATAGGGAAAAGAAAAAGGGAAAAGAAAAAGAGAAGAAAAGGGAAGAAAAGTGACTAACCTGCGGAAACAGTGACATTGGCTTGGACTTGGGATCGTCTTCCGATCTGTGTGATATATTTACAATTCGTCGCGAATTCGCAGTTTCCCTCTCTGGATTGGAAAAAATCATTGGAACGATCCCCGTTCACACCCCGCCGCGACGACAGATAAATCCTTTCGTTTGTTGCGATACAATTTATCAAAAATTGCGCTACCTCGTTTCGTTTTCGGTTCACCTTTCTAAAAAGAATTCGATTCCATCGAATGGAAAATAATTGGTGTAACGAGGATCGTTCGTCGTGATAATAACTCGATTGATCTCACTCACGAAATGACAATGGGTATTTAACATACGCTTTTACAACGTACGCGAGATAGTAACCTAAATAATAATTGGACGTCGCTTATATATTTACATATTATATACGAACGTAAACCCTGGTTAGTCCTCGAGTCCATGATAATTCCTGGTCCCAGGACCAGGCTTCTCTCTCGAACCCCTATACCGTGTATACGGTATGTCTGTCCTCTTACCGATCACCGAACCGGTAAACCGTTTAAACCGGCAATCTTAAATCGATCAAGGAGTCCAGATCACGATCGACAACGATCGTTTCATCAATTTTCGGGAAAATTTCGAGAAAGGGGAAGGGGGGAGGGATCCTCGATCCCGGCTCAATTTAATACGGTCTCCAGACCTGTCTAGGCTTAGGGCTTCTCTCCCTTCTACCTCGTACCACCGCTTCCCTCTCCACACTCGTGTCCTCCTCCTTCCTCTTGGTGGTCAGATCTTGGCCCACGTTCTCCTTGTCCTGCCCTTTACTCTTCGTGCTAAGATCCACGGTCCCCGCCTCGAGCCGGATCTTCGAGTCCCTGCGTGAGATCTGATGCTCGTCGACGTTCGCCGCCTCTTGATCGTTCTTCGAGTTCTCTATACTCGGCCGAAGGTGAACCGTGCCGTCCTCCTGGAACGCGGTCGCGTCCGCGGTCGTGTCCTCCGTGTCGCTCCTCACCGGCGAGATCCTCGGCGAATCCTGCCCCCCGAGGGACTCGTCGCTCCTCCCGCGATCCCTGNTCTTGCTCGTTCCTATCGTCCACCTCTATGCTTCCATCCGGGCTGTCCAGCCCGGATCTACCCCGCACCCCGTCTTGATCGTCCTCGTCGTCCCGTCGACTTATCGCCTCCTTCAACGCGGATTCCGGGCTGCTGCTACCGGCCCGAACCTTCCTCGTCTCCTCGACCCTCGCCTGGTCGGGCCTCTGCAACCGTTGCTGCGCCATTCTTAGCGCGAGAGCGTGCCACTCCGGCTCCAGCACGTATTGCTGCGTGTGGTAGAGAGGATTGTAGAGCCAAGAGGATTGCGGCAACAGAGGGGCGAATATCGATCCGAAAATAGACCCCGTCGCCCCGAGAAGATGAAGACCTGTCGGAGTACGCAGGGATATCAGAGCCTTGGAATTTAACGCGTGACATCTCGTCGTTCGAGGAAGAAATTTCTATTTAGAAGGTACCTTGAAAGTGAGAGTGATGGCCCGACGAAGGGCTAGGCGTTGTGGTGGTCGTGGTAGGCTCCGCCGGAGGCGTGGGCGCCGCAACCGTGGCCGTCGTGAGCAATCCGGGCCCAGGGTTGCCGGGCGAAGTGGTCGGGGTCACCTCCCTCACGGACACGCTGATCGGGCCCAAATCGTTCCTGGACGGTTCTTTTAAAGAAATCGATTCATTCGACCACTGCTACCACCCCTCTCGTCCGTTATTAATTAATCATCCGTTATCGAATCAAATGTTTCTCGACACTGTTACCGAACTCCGATTACCATCCCTTTCGAGATCTAATTTTGTAGAAATGTCTGATATATATATATCTATTTTGATATGAGAGAAAGAAAAGAAAAGAAAAGAAGAGAAAAATATTCGTGGATGGTACGTTGGATGTTCCGCGTAAGAGTGTCGGATACAATTCTCACCAGAGTTTGGTCCAGGTAGCCTGGGAGATCTTTGCTCGATACTGTGGTGGAAGGGGTTGAAGGCCGACGCACCAGCTGCCGGAGGATGTGTATGCGAATGGTGACCGGGAGGCGGCGGAAGACAGTGCGGCGGAAGAGAGCCCCGAGGTAATCCACCCCATCCTTGGCTGGCTCCTTGCTCCAGACCCAGGTGTTGCAAACCTGTGCAATCCAAGGGATCTGAAATTATGTCTGTCGGTCGTTTGGCTTTTGGGCCAACGTCTTGGCCGAGCCGTAATCCGTCCAATCGAAAGGGCGAATTTTTCTTTTTCGAGGAAAGGGAGAGAAGATCGATTCTTTTCCAAGATTCTCGAATTTTGTTCTTTAAAAAAAAAAAGAAAAAGAAAAAGGTAACAAGGTGGATCCATTTCGAAATATTTTATTCCGTTGCCGATAAAAAAGAATAGATAAAAAAGTTGAAAAGTTGGAAAGAGATCGATCTTTGGGCCAGGATGAGGATGGAAACGTGAGGAACGACCGCAATAAATAGCAACGAGGCTGAAAAAGAAACGGGCTCTGGAGGAGATGTGGAAATGTTATATAATGTCAGGTGGATAAACGATCACCGGATGACAGATAGAGCTGCAGAAACGCTTCTCTTTGACGTAGCGAACGTTTGACGTGGATGGACAGTTAAATTTATCCAACAGAGAATAGAGAAACGATCGATCACCTTTTTTTTTCCTTTTTTTCTTTTTTTTCTTTTTTTTTTTTTTTTTTTTTTTTTTTTTTTTTTTTTTTCAATACTAGCCGATACCACCCGACGACCATGGGAATCGTTCGCATGTGCAGCTATGCAATTAAATTCGCGACATTCGGAGGGCTTAATCTGTTCCAACGCGATTACGCCGCTTCCTGTTCTTCCGTTTTCTTCTTCTTCTTCTTCTTCTTCTTATTCTTCTTATTCTTCGATGTACGGAAAAAAAAAAGAAAAAGAAAATTTCCATCACGATACGAAAACTCATCTCTAGTGAATTAAAGAAGAGTAAAAAGAAAAAGAAAAAAAAAGAAAGAAAAATAAAAATAAACGAACGTAAAAGAAGAAGAAGAAGAAGAAGAGGAAGAGAAAGAAGAAAAAAAAGTAGAACGAAAGAGTGGAAGAAGCGTTAACAAAAACGAGGGAGGTAAAGAAGTTAGGAAAAACCACGGCGGAACGAGTTACAGCTCGGCAACGCGGGGGCGGAGGGGTGGGGAGGGGAGGGGGGGGGGGGAAAGGAGTAAAAGTGAAGCCCGTAGTCATCGGTATGGTATCGGTTTTTCGAAACACCTTGATCAATAGCAGATTATACCGTCAGCTGTACGGGGCAGTTTAAAAATTCCGTGAAAGCTCCGAAGCCAGCGGAGCTTCAGGGGGTAAGGGATCGGAACGGGGGGACAGCAAGTAGGGGAAGTGTGTGCTACGGAGTGGGGAGGGTTGTCTGGTCACTGGGGCGTGGGCGTGGCGTGGCGTGCTCGCGACCACCGTTATTGGTCCACGTCCAATCCCCACCAACGGTTGGATCGTCGTTGACGGGGATGGAAAAAGCTCGGTAGGGGTTGAAGGGGTGATTTTTAAGCTCTCTTTAAGCCGAGCTTGCCAGAGAGGACACCACTATCTCGCGTTCTACCACATCGTCGTGGAACTACCGAGCAGCCCGGCTGCAAACTCGCACAGGGGAAAAGAAAAAGAGGGGAAGAGAGGGAGAGGGAGAGAGAGGGAGAGAGAAAGGTTGTAGGATGCAGCTACTTTATGAGGGGATTAAGAAAACGATAAGAGGCGCGCGAAAGCTACGCTCTGAGCGAGCTTAAGGAGGCCAAGGGTTTCCCCTGTACCTGTAAGTGACGACTTTACTCGCTTGCTCTTTACGAAAATCCTTACTCTTTGTGTCGAGAATTTTATATATATATATATATATTTATTCGAAATAAAAAATATCCGTTTATCCACTTAATTTTCCTCGTTAAAGATAAAAATATACGTATATATTTATTCTTCGATTAAATTCTGCGAATTGAAACAAATTTTCCAAAATCGATCACGACTTTTTTCGTCAATCCTTTTTAGAATTGTAGGAATTTCATGTTTCATAATGATTTCGATAGAACGAAACTGGCGAACGAATTTTGGAAGCTGATCGGGGGGTGAGTATCTATTTCAACCAACTCGTAACATACTTTCAATTTAATAAACCCCCAAAACGGCTGGCGCTTTCTCTCTCTCTCTCTCTCTCTCTCTCTCTCTTTCTCTCGCGGGATGAGAGAGAACTCGCGTGCCGGGGTCGGGGGCAGAGGGGTGGCTGGCGATAATTCCGAAAACAAATGAAGACTAATGAGGGGAGAAGCCAGGCGAGAGGCTCTGAAAGAGTCGGAGGGAAAGAGACACAGTGACGGGAGAGAGAACTGAAAGGGTTCAAGGAGCCGCTACCCTTTAAGGGGTGAGAAATGTTAAGCTTAAACGTTACGGCCCTAGGGTTAGTTGCCTTTATGTGTACCTTCCACCGGAGTACAGAGGCTTTAAGGGATGATGTATTATCGAGCAGCATACTTGAAATATGCTCCGCTGTTTCAGTCACCCCCCAGAAGCCAACCAACCTAAGCGTAAGTGTTGCTTGTCGTTGTACGTTTAAAACTTAAAACCGAGAGAAACTTTATACATTCGACTTAATTTTCGCGATTGCTTGCGAACCTCGTTGAGTCGAAAATCGTGACGACGAACCGATACGTAGAAAAGATGATAAAATTCGACATCAGTAGAATATAACTTAGAATCGAATCCTTGGATTCTAAATTTTTTTCGAGTCTTTAAATCTCCACCTCTTCCTCCGTAGGATCCTCGATTAAGAAAACGATAAAGGGGGAGGATCGACGGACGCCTCCAGATTTCTTTCCTCCTTGCTTAAAACTCTAAGCCGCGAGATCTAGAAGCGAATTACGCCTGTCACTGGGGGTAGTGGAAGGAAGAGAGACGAGGGAGAGAAGGGGGTGGATGTCGGGAAACTTAAGAGGCGTTTAAAGACGTTGGGCTAAAGGGTGACGGGCAGGCTCGAAAGTAAAGAGTAAAGCCGGTTCCGTTCGGGTTGCTCTCGCTTAAAACCTTTCCGGCAGCCAGCCAGAGATACATAATAAATTAATTCGCGTATTTTCCTGTCCTCCTTATCTATTCAAATCTATGCAAAACAGGAGTTAAAACGCCCTTCTTACTGCTAAGGCGTTAACCCTTGTGTAGCTCGCTCTCGCACACCTCCTCCTCCCCTCTCCATCTCTTTTCAGCTTCTTCTCTCGACCATCCCCGCGCCCCTCGACCCTACCGCCAACCCGCCACCCCCGCCAACTCCCGTTTCCCACGTCCTAGCCTCTC